AGAGGAGTGCTAACAGGTGCAACAACAACCTTGAGAACTCCATATTGTGCATCATAAGCCATTTGGTGGCTCAAAAGTGAGAATCCCTGAGGACATTTGATGCTTCCCAGGTATACACGACCACTCTCATCATGCTCATACACATTTTTGATCTCAGCATGGAATCTGATTTCCTCCTCATTAGCCAATACGTCAATGTCATCAACACAAACTCCAGGCACATCCACTGAAAAATACAAACCACCATGAGCTATTGGTTCTCCAACGTTTGCTCTCTTGCGTCCTTTCACAACAAATGGATGATCTTCCGCGAACCTTCCCGATTTACCTGTTCCAAAATTGTATACAACTTACAACAAGAATTCGAATATGCATAGTGATGAGTTTAGGGATTTGATGATTGATCGAACCTGTAAAAGGAGGAAACGTGAGTGTACACTTGGTTTCATGGTCTTTCACTTTGACCCTTGACACGATCATCCTCAACATTCCGTCTTTCATTTTCGCATCCACGTTTGTGATCTCACAGCAATCACAGCTCAGGCCGGCGGATCCGGAGTACTCACGAACTGGGTCTTTCTTGTTGCCGTCGTCTACTGTCTCGCCGGAGAAAAACACCACCTTTTGCCTCACGGCGTCGACTCTGTGACGGACGCCGTCATCTGGAACTCCGGGCAACTCGACACGAATGTAAAGCTGATCATTCTCAAGAACCTTGACTTGGATGAAACCCTTTGGACCGGTTTTCTGGAACTGATTGTTCGTCGCGTACATGCCCTCTGTTTTCACCACACAGTAAGACCAAGTAAACATAATCAAAGATCAAATCTTTGCACTAAGTTCATGTCAAAGAACAAAAACGAAATCAAATCGTACTTACTTAGTTGCCAGTAAACAAAATAAAAGATTATTGAAGAGATTTAGTGAAATCGTACATACTTAGTAGCCAGAAAGAACAAGTAAACAGAATCAAAGATTTATCCAAGTGCATTATCAAGTCGTACGTTACATACTTGCTAGAAATAAAGAGTAAAAACAAAATCAAAGATTTTTGAAGAGCTTTAATGAAATATGTGCACTAAGTTCATGTCAAAGAAAGCTCCTTTTTTTCACTGGGAAGCAAAGACGCTTGATTTGATGCAAATTTGAAGAAAACATTTGATTTGCAGGAAAAAAAAACATGTCTTTAGTTAGAAAGTAAAGCAATAATCATGGAAAATGTAAACAGAAACAGAAAGGAGGAAGAAGGAGACCTCTTTTGAAAGAGAATCCCGTAGAATCCCGTAGACCTATTTCAGCCA